GCCACCGCAACCTCGCCTGCTGGGCTCCGGCGATCCTTCTGCCTCAGCCTTCCAGGGCTCCGGCGATCCTTCCGCCTCAGCCTTCCAAGTAGCTGGAATTACAGGCATGCGCTACCACGCCCGGCTGATTTTTTGATTTATTGTAGAGATGAGGTCTCGCTGCCCAGGCGGGTCACAACATAATTTTTCTTAATCATGTATGTACCTAAGCTAGTTATTTAGTTTCTTACTAAGAAAAATATTCTGGTCTTGTGCAATAATATGGCCTTGAAGACTACAAAGCCTACAAACCCTATGGCCTGGGTTCAATATCAAGAGAACTTTTTGGTTTTTTTAAGCTATCTTTTGATGGATTCTAAAACCCTTTTGTCTTTTGGCCAGTACCACATTTTTATTTAATGGCAATATAGTCATGTCAACACATTCTTCTCAGAATTGCCCAGACAGTGTCCCCTTTTACAGTAGAACATCCACTTAATGGTTACAGCTATTTATTGTACACTCATTTTGTGTAAGGCGTGCATCAGGTGTTGAGGATGCAGGAGTGGAGCATGCCTAGCCTCCTGGGGCTTGGAGAAGGCTGTGTGGAGTGAGCTGATTTTTTAGCAGAGTTTCGGCTTGGTACAAGGCCTTTTCTGGTTGAAGTTCAAGCCTGGGAAGAAAAAAAGGGTGATGGAGTTTTACTTAACATAAAAGTAATACGCGTTTATTTTAGTAAGGCCCCAAATTACAGATAAACAAAAACAAAATATCATTTGTAACCTTACCACTTAAAGATTGGTATATACGTATGCTTTTCCTTTGAGGTGTAATTTATTTACAATAAAATACACAGATCCATAGGTGTAATTGATGAATTTTGACAAATGTATACCCCAGCATAACCTTGCTTAAATCAAGATGTGGAATATTCCCATCATCCCATGAAGCTCCCTCATGGCCTTTTCCAGAAAATTCACTTCTTCCAGAAGTAAACACTGTTTTTTTTTTTGTTTGTTTGTTTTTGCTTTGTTTTTTGAGTTGGAGTCTCACTCTGTCACCGAGACTGGAGTGCAGTGGCCGCTCCCGGCCACTGCAGCCTCGACCTGCTGGGCTCCGGCGATCCTTCCGCCTCAGCCTTCCAGGTAGCTGGAACTACAGGCATACGCTACCATGCCCGGCTAATTTTTTGATTTATTGTAGAGATGAGGTCTCGCCAAGTTGCCCAGGCGGGTCTTGAACCCGTGGGCTCAGGCAATCCACTCACCTCAGCCTCCCAAAGCGCTGGGATTACAGGCTGAGCCACCGACCCTGGCTAACACTGTTTTAATTATTTTATTTTATTATATTTTTTTGCGTTGTAGTCTCACTCTTGTCGCCCAGGCTGGAGGGCAGTGGCACGCTCCCGGCCACCGCAGCCTTGACCCGCTGGGCTCCGGCGATCCTTCCGCCTCAGCCTTCCAAGTAGCTGGAACTACAGGCGCACGCTACCATGCCTGGCTAATTTTTTTGGATTTATTGTAGAGATGAGGTCTCGCCAAGTTACCCAGGTGGGTCTTGAACCCTCGGGCTCAGGCAGTCCACTCACCTCAGCCTCCCAAAGCGCGGGATTATAGGCTGAGCCACCGAGCCTGACTTATTTTATTTTATTTTATTTTAAAGATGTGGGGTATAATTCAAGATTAGGTGTACAAGTGGACATCGTACAGGTAAAGTTTGGACTTCCCTTTGGTCCCCTTTGCCTGGTTTGAGATCAGGTATCCTTATTGATATTGTGTCCTTCCCATACCCCAGCAGTATCCTGCTACGGCCAATCCCTTTCTTACAGTATTATGGTAAGTGTTCAGGGTCTGCTTATGAGTGAGAACATGTACTCTGTTCTTTGTTTCTGTGTTAGATCACTGAGTATTGTAGACTCTGAGTCCATCTAAGTTGCTGCGAAATCTATGTTTGTCCTTCTTTATAGCTGCTTAATATTCCATTGTGTATATGTACCACATTCTTTTTTTTAATCCAGTTAGTTTCAATGGGCAGCACAGTTGGTTGTTTTAATTTCTATTACCATAGATTAGATGTGCTTGTTTTTAACATTCTAGAAATAGAATCATTCAGTACCTACACTTTTTTTGTTTCTTTTGTTTGAGTTGGAGTCTCACTCTTTTGCCTAGGCTGGAGTGCAGTGGCACACTCATGACTACTGAAGCCTCGATCTGCTGGGCTCAGGTGATCCTTCTGCCTCAGCCTTCCAAGTAGCTGGGATTATAGGCACATACCACACCACATCCGCCTAAGTTTTTGATTTATTGTAGAAATGAGCTCTTGCCAAGTTGCCCAGGCTGGTCTTGAACCCATGAGCTCAGGCAATTCTCTCACCTCAGCCTTCTAAAGTGCTGGGATTATAGATGTGAGCCACCATGTCCAGCCAGTATGTACACTTTTGTGTTTGGCTTTTTTTGCCTTTTTTTTTTTTTTTTTTTTGAGTTGAATCGTCACTCTGTTGCCCAGGCTGGGGTGCAGTGGCACACTCACGGCTACTGCAGCCTTGACCTACTGGACTCAGGTGATCTTTCCGCCTCAGCCTTCCAAGTAGCTGGAACTATAGGTGCATGCCGCTATGCCTGGCTAATTTTTTTGTTTATTGTAGAGATGAAGTCTCGCCAAGTTGCCCAGGCTAGTCTTGAACTCCTGGGGTCAGGCAATCCTCTTGCCTCGGCCTTCCAAAATGCTGGGATTACAGGCATGAGCTACCACACCCAGCCTTCTTTTGCATACTTTAAAAAATTTTAACTTGTTAATGAGTAATACATTTGCATGATTCAAAATTTAAAAGTTCAAAGGATATGCAGTGGAATTTTTCCTTACCACTGTTATTCACCAACCATCTGTTCTCCTCTCTAGAGGCAGCCAGTGTTACCAGTTTCTTTGTATCTTTCCAGGGATTTTATATATATACAAATATATATATATATATATATATTTTTTTCTTACCTCCATCTTTTGCATGAATGTTGTTCATCATTATGTCCCTTTTTTAAAACTTAGGACTGTAATCGTTTCATATCAGTACATAAAAGCTTTCATAGTCACATGTGTGGATTATTTATTGCTCATAATATTAATATTGTACTTTAGTGATTCCTAAAAGCTCTAAATATTGACCTCCCATATGACCCCGCAATCCCCCTACTGGGAATATACCCTGAAGATCTCAAATCACTCTATAAAAAAGATACCTGCACACGTATATTTATCGCAGCATTGTTCACAATAGCAAGAACCTGGAAGCAACCATGCTGTCCATCAAAAGAGGACTGGATTAAAAAAATGTGGTACATATACGCTATGGAATACTATGCAGCCATAAAAAAGAACAAAATCATGAATTTTGCAGCAATCTGGATGGAACTAGAGTCTATAATACTGAGTGACCTCTCACAGAAACAAAGATCTAAGTATCACATGTTCTCACTCATATAGTGGACCTTGACCATCCAATATAATACTATAAGAAAATGATAGTGGTGGGAAACTATGAGGGGGAGGGGAAGGGAGATGGGATTAACAGTAGTAAATATCTGTCTGGGGACGGGGAGACACCTCTTATCAACAAGAGTGCCTGACGAAGCATATTTGTATACCTCACCCTTAACTGTACCCCACAATATCATAATAAAAAATATTGATTAAAAAAAAATTTTCACTTTATTGACTCAGTCCTATGTTATTTGGCTTATAGTCTGATTGTCTTTTGCTGCTTCAGACAGTGCATCAGTTGAAATCCTATACACAAGTTATTTCTTATAATTGTTTCTTCAGGATGGGATCATAGAAAAGAAATTTGCTGGGCAGCTCTCTTTCAGGTCCCCTCTTGCTTGGGAGTTTCTCTGTATTCTTAATAAACTCCTGCTTTCTCTGAAAAAATAAAAAAAAGAAAAGAAAAGGAATTTGCTTGGGTAAAGTATTTTTATTCTTGAAGGCTTCTCATAAATATAACCAGATTGCTCTTAAAGATGTAGTATTAGTGTATACCTCCACCATTGTTGTATGGGTGAAATGCTGTTTGTAACTTGTAGAAATAATAAAGAGAGATGATCCCCTGAGAGATGGACCAACACAGTGAATGTCTTTTTTTTTTTTTTTTTTGAGTTGGAGTCTCACTCTGTTGCCCAGGCTGGATTGCAGTGGCATACTCATGGCCACCACAGCCTTGACCTGCTGGGCTCAGATGATCCTTCCACTTCAGCTTTTTAAGTAGCTGGGACTACAGGCACATGCTACTACGCCTGGCTAATCTTTTTATTTATTGTAGAGATTAGTTCTCACCAAGTTGCCCAGACTGGTCTCAAACCTGTGGGCTCAGGCAGTCCTCTTACCTCAGCCCCCCAAAGTGCTGGGATTATAGGTGTAATCCACCTCACCCAGCCATAAATGTCTTTATGAATCAGAACTGTCATCACTTGGCTGTCTCGATGAGAGCTAATAATAGGCTTTGGGATATAGTGTGACATTGGAAATACTTTTTAGTGTTTTCCAATTTGTGTGCATTGAATGTTTATTTTTATTTTATTTTTTAAATTTTTTTATTTTTTTGAGTTGGAGTCTCACTCTGTCACCCAGACTGGAGTGCAGTGGCCGCTCCCGGCCACCGCAGCCTTGACCTGCTGGGCTCTGGCAATCCTTCTGCCTCAGCCTTCCAAGTAGCCGGAATTACAGGCATGCGCTACCACACCTGGCTGATTTTTTGATTTATTGTAGAGATGTGGTCTCGCTGCCCAGGCGGGTCTCGAACCCGTGGGCTCAGGCAATCCACTCACCTCAGCCTCCCAAAGGCGCGGGATTACAGGCTGAGCCACCGAGCCCGACTTGAACGTTTATTAACTTTGAAATTAGAAGGACAACTAGATAATGTTGTTAGGAAAAAGCAACTACTTTGCTTATGAGATATTTGACTATGTATTAAAATATAATAGCCCTCTTAGCTTAAATAGTTATAAACATTTTTATGTTTTTTTCCTTTGCAGTGACATTTCTGAGGGCAAACCTCTGGAAGTAGAGATGGCAGGAATTGAATACATGAATGATGATCCTGGCATGGTAGATGTTCTTTATGCCAAAGTCCACATGAAAGATGGCTCCAACAGGTATATTTTGGGAATACTTCTTTGTTTCAATCAAGAGGTACCTAAAAGCATCTTTGGAAGTTTAATTCATTTTGATTTCTTTTCTCTGGGATCTTATTATTATTAGGAGTATATTAATCTTTTCTTCCTTATTTAAAAAACAGTAAGCTAATATCTTGAAAGAGGAAAAAGCACCAGACTTTTAACCCGATAAGTATACATTTTTTTTTAAATGAAGTTTCTCTATATTGCCCAGGCTGGCCTCAAGCTCCTGGGCTCAAGGGATCCTTCTGCTTCGACCTTCCAGTAGCTGGGACTGCAGGCATGTCCAGCCAGTCTGATTCTGCAGGTGTGCCCAGCCAGTCTGATGACTATTGAGTTACTTGGATAATGGGTATTGATAGCAACAATTTTGTTTTCATGGAACTCAGTGGTTCCTTGGCATTTTCCAGGATAAGAAACAGGAAGGTTGGCAATTTAGGAGTTTCAACCATGATGTAATGCAGATGTAGTGAATACCAGAACAAAATGGGGATGAAAGCTTTATCAACTTCATAGGATTATTAAGGTTAAGTATTTTAAGTATATAAAATACTTAAAACAGTGCTTGGCACACACTAACATTATCAAAACATCAAAAAATGTCTACTCTTGAGGTTTTTTTTTTTATTACTTACCTACATCCCTTCTGGGGATTCTCAGTCTGCAATCCAGGCTATTTCTGAGACTGGCCTCGGCATCCAGAACCATTTCCAATGTTAATGCTGCTTATTAGTTGACTCGGGGCCTTTAGTGAGCAGAGAAGCCTCACTTTAACTGGTAGTTTGTTTTTGTGTGTTTTTTTAATTTAGGGAAGGTAGAATAGGGATCACAGTGAACCAGAAACCTTCCAGAGAAAATCTTGAGTCTTTGGATAGGCCCCCAAATGTACTTGCTTTCCAACAAAATATCTTATAAGTTTTCTCTTAATTTGAATTGATAATCTCAATTGTGTCTTTTGTGTGTGTGTGTGTGTGTGTGTGTATGTGTGTGTGTGTTGGAGTCTCACTGTGTTGCCCAGACTGGAATGCAGTGGCCACTCCTGGCCACCGCAGCCTCTACCTGCTGGGCTCCGGCAATCCTTCCGCCTCAGCCTTCCAACTAGCTGGAACTACAGGCGTGCGCTGCCACGCCCGGCTAATTTTTTATTTATTGTAGCGATAAGGTCTCTCCAAGTTGCCCAGGCAGGTCTCGAACCCGTGGGCTCAGGCAGTCCACTCACCTCAGCCTCCCAAAGGCACGGGATTATAGGCTGAGCCACTGAGCCCGGCTTCAATTATGTCTTATCTCTCTTCATTTGGAAGTGAATTTTGAGGGGAAGGGAGGAAAAATGTGTTTTTTGTGTGTGTTCTTTGCCACATTTTTCTTTTCCTAGCTACCTAGCATGTGCCTAAAGGGCATACTAATGACCCTACTTTAAAAACAAGGGGCACATTGGTACTGAACAGGAGATCATATTACTAGGATATCCCAAAGCATTTCTACCAAGTTCAAATTTGATATCTGGTATGGATCATTTGCTTTGTCTTCTAAGTCATAACTAACCAAATGCCTTCACAGTACTGTAGAACTCCGATATACCATGTATGGGGTAGGTTGTTTTTCAATTTCTGTACAGAAACAGTGAATGATCTAAGTTAGCAATTCTCAAACTCTTGGTCTCACAATCTCATAATTTAAAAAAACTACTGGGAACCCTGAAGAACTTTTGTTTATATGGGCTGTATCTATCAGTATTTACCTTATTAGAGATTAAAATAGAACTTTATAGGCCAAGCACAGTGGCTCAAGTCTGTAATCCCAACACTTTGGGAGACTGAGGAAAGAGGTTTACCTGAGCTCAGGGTTTTGAGACCAGCCTGGGGACTTGGTGAGACCTCATCTCTACAATAAATCAAAAAAGCCGGGCTTGGTGGCTTAGCCTGTAATCCCGTGCCTCTGGGAGGCTGAGGTGAGTGGATTGCCTGAGTCTGCGGGTTCGAGACCTGCCTGGTCAGCGAGACCTCATTTCTACAATAAATCAAAAAATCAGCCGGGTGTGGTAGTGCATGCTTGTAATTCCGGCTACTCGGAAGGCTGAGGTGGAAGGATCACCAGAGCCCAGCAGGTCGAGGCTGCGGTGGCCGGGAGAGACCACTGCACTCCAGTCTGGGCGACAGTGAGACTCCAACTCAAAAAAAAAAAAAAAAATCAAAAAATAAACCGGATGTGGTAGCGCATGCCTGTAGTTCCAGCTACTTGGAAGACTGAGGCAGAAGGATTGCCTTAGCCCATAGGTTGAGGCTGCGGTGGCCGTAAGCGTGCTACTGCACTACAGTCTGAGTGAGAGTGAGTCGGATTCCGACTCCCCCCCCAAAAATAGAACTTTATAATAAGGTAAATATTAATTTAGAAATTAGGAATAATTAACAGATACTAAATTATTTTTTTGAAAAGTAACAAAATTATTTCTTGTCTGTATTACATATTTTTAATGAAAAATAACTCCAACCTCAAACATTTAGTGAAAAAATAGTCATGGTTTTACATTTTTGTAAATCTTTTTAATAGAAGACAGCTGGATTCTCATACCTGTTTCTGCATTCAGTCTATTGTGATATGTTGTTTTGACTGAGGTATAAAAAAATCCAACCTTACAGATACAGGTATGTAGTTGGAAAAGTGAGTAGTAGTTAATGGTCTTTTCAGATAATTATGGATATATCATATTATTCTAAAACTTGACAAGCCATAGTTTCTTAAAAGTTAGTTGCAATGTGGAATCTGAAACCGTCAGTGAACATTCATACTCTGTTACACGAACATATATTGGTCTGCCTTGCATTTTGCCTGGATGTTTGACCCATGCACAATTTTGTAACATTAGTCATTTAGAAAATATGGGCGGCCACATGCGGAGGCTCACACCTATAATCCCAGCACTTTGGGACGCCAAGGCAGGAGGATCACTTGTAGCCAGGAGTTCAAGACTAGCCTGAACATAGAGAGACCCCCATTTCTACAAAAAAAAAAATCAGCTGGGTGTGGTGGCATGTGTCTGTAGTCTCAGCCAATCAGGATGCTGAGGATCAGAGAGGATCATTTGAACTCAGGAATTTGAGGCTTTGGTGAGCTGTGAGACTGCAGTCTAGCCTGGGTGACAGAGCAAGACCCTATCTCAAAGAAAGAGAGAGAGAGAGTGAGAGAAGGAGGGAGGGAGGGAAGGATGAAAGAAAATACTGGTTCATTGAATTATGCAAATCTCCCAAATGGTGACACATTTCATTTTACATATTAAAAATATGTTAATATCACTACTAATTTCATCAAAATTTTTAAGTATTGGGAAGTAGTCAAGCTCATGGTGGCAGATGTGCATGTTCCAAAATTCTAATTTTCACTTGAAAACTCGAATTTTATTATTTGCAAAAAAATATTGACTATTGTTTTTCTTGAAGTTCTTTTTTGAGAAAATGTCTGCCAAGCAGCCAAGCCCGAATAACCATAATTTGTCTGTTGGCTTTTTCAAGTAAAATGGCGTTCCATGGACTGAGACCAGTTCAGCTTACAATTCAGGCAGCTCGCAAGTGCTTTTCTTCCAGACAGCTGTCTACTTAGGTATACAGACCAAGTCCTTTATACATACTGCCAATTTTATCTCACAGGATATTAAAAGAAGTGTGCTCCAAGGACTGAGATTTAATAAACTTTATCATTTTTACTGCTTTATCAAGGATGCATGAAACTGCTTTAAAAAAAAAACTGGAAATGTATTGTGAAGAAAACTGGCTTAAAAAAAAACTGGACATGTACTGTGAAGAATATACCACTAGTCCAGTTTGATGCCGCTGCTGTAATTCACACCAGGCTGTCAGCAGTTTTACCCCACCCTTGTTTTTGCACCATCGATGCAAATGTCATCCTAGAGAAAAAAAAAATAATGTCATATGACTACTATAAAAGTAGTCTTGACCTCATGGACCTTCTAAAAGAATCCCAAGGACCCCAGAGATCTACAGATGGCATTGTGAAAACCTCTGGTCTAAATTTATTTCTAACATTGAAGATTGCATAATTTTGGGGGAAATTATAACTAACTTTGGTTAGCAATTACTCTTGCCTGGCACTGTGCTTAGATTGTATTATCCCCATTTGCAACATCTGTGTAAGATAGGTACTGTAATTATGCCTATTTTATAGGTCAGGGGAGTTCAGAGAGTTTAAGTAATCTACCTAAGGAACATATAGATAGCAAAGCCATGCCCTGAACCCCTATACCATAATAAAGGTTTTCAGTGTGTATATGCCAAGTTGAGTATGACGGACTATGCTCCAATTCTTATTCCTAGAGTAAAATGGAACATTTTGACCTGCTTTTTTTTGAAAGAGGTAAAAGTCACGTAGCATTAAATTTATCATCTTTAACCATTTTTAAAGTATATAATTCAGTGGCATTTAGCCCATTAACAAATTGTGCAACCATTATCACTGTCTAGTTCCAGAACATTTTTATTACCCTAAAAGGAAATCGTGTGCCCATTAAATACAGTTGCATCCCATACACTGCTCTCCCCAGCCTCTGGCAACCACTTATCTCTGTCTGTCTCATTGAATTTGTCTATTCTGGATATTTCCTATAAATAGAATTGTATAATATGGGGCCTTTTGTGTCCTGCTTCTTTCACTTAACATAATATTTTCAAGGTTCATCCAAGTTGTATCACGGTACTTCATTCCTTTTTATGACTGAATAATAGTCATCGTATGGTGATAACCACATTTTGTTAATCAATCTATCTGATGAACATTTGGGTTGTTTCCTCTTTTTGCTTATTGTGAATAGAACTATTTCCAGTTATTTTGGACTGACTCATTTTTAAAATGTATTAAAGTCATGGTTTTTATTTCCTAGATTTACTATATAATTTTATGGGGCATTGTGGCCACTCAGCCTGGAGTCTGTTCATTTGTTTTCATATTTTCTATAGTGGAGCGTATTTAAT